ACAGCTTCTACCTCTGCACTGGGTGTGTACATATTGATTTACTGGACCGCACACACTACATGCTATATAACACAATAGGCTTCTAAAGCTTTTCAAAAGTAGTACAAACTTTGCCTTTATTCATATACAGATATACAAGTACATTTTAGAATGCTTATAATATTTAAATATCATTATATTCTTTTTTTATTTCATTACAAGCAGAGCAAACAAGAACATTTCAGTAAATAAATTAGCAAATTTGTATTAATAAGAAAAAACTTAAAATATACATGTTTAATGAACTAATGATATGACTGACAAATATCATAGAATTTAGACGATCGTATATTTTTAGTGTACGTTTTTAGTACCTTTGATTGCTAACATGAGTTGCGTCGTGTGTAAAAGTTAGATATTCGTATCACGTTCGCGAACCTGACGAGTAAAGTGGTTTATCTAAAGGTACAGGTCAAGCGCGTCATAAAAATTTTCCGTTGGCTAAAAAGTGGAGTAGGGCGGGAGGAGGAGGAGGAGGAGGGTGAGGGTGAGCGTATGTTTTCCTCCGTAATTCACAAAATGTGACGATTCAAGTTCGCACAAACTGCCTAGGGATTAGCTCGAGTCGCGTCGCAATTGAGTGAAGAATCGAGAAGTAAATTGACATTTTGTCAGAAAGTGTATCATGGTCTTGACAGCAATTAGCTCAGCCGTCGCGAAGCTGTTAAAAGATCTGAGGCCATAGATAATCAAATGAGCGGGCGCGATAATGGTGCAAAGACGGTACACGATCTCATGGAAGTTTGAGATAATTGAAGAAAACTGCGAAGTTCTCGAGGGAGACTGCTATCACCGATCGTAACGCGTTTCCGCCGCGTGTCGCGAAATTGGTAACAGTTGGCTGGAATATGTGTTTTTCACAGTACTCTCAGTTTACATCTATGTATCGTAATTAAGATCCCTTTCGCCATACTCATGTTGCAATGAGACTGCAGTAAAATACAATAGATATTCATGTAACTTTTTGCGAGTTTTATAATACACACGAATTTATAAAGATTTGTCTATATCAAAGAGTATCGCTATATGCGAGACGACGTGTTGGCCTGCATTAAACTTTCATTTTCCACAGGCATCGAGCAACAATGTGAGGAAGAGGGCTCTTTGTAAGATCGTTCGCTCAACAAAGGCAACAGAGAACACAATGGACCCTCTAAGTTCTGTGAGATACGTTAGAAGGGCGGCTCCAAGTACGGGAGGACCACCTTCGACGGGATGTTTGTCACACAAGCGTGTGTCGTAAATGTTGATAAAGTTCGATACAGAAAAGATCGAGCTTACCCTTATTATGTTAACAGCATTGTATATGTTAGTTTCCTCCAAGAAAATTTTATATAAGTTTCCTTAATACAATTTTATATAATAATATTAATTTTCTCTGTCAGTATTTTATCTCTTCAATTATTCCACAACTTTCACAACTGTTTTTCACAAAGCCAGCGAGTTTCAATAGATTATTAAAATGTTTCTAAAATTTATTACTGCGTTTTCCTTCCATTTTCATCGTTGAATCCAATGTTTTAATATAGAATTTCCTGCCCTTCAAAACTTTTCTCTAAATAATAAAAATATTGTAAAAATACGCAAATCTGCGCGTAGTATTTTTCAAGGGAACGATTATTTGGAGATTCATGAATACAGTTCTTGGAGCAGAAAATAAATCTCGATGTGTTTCCACCAATATTTTTTAACAATTTTTGAAAAAATATATTTTATGGTAGATATAAACGTGCAGCGTGTTCTAAACCGGAGATCAATTTCCAGCCCTTTATCAACAACGAACTCAAAACGGAGATCGCGCGACAGTATCATTTTTTGGAGGTGAATACCGCCATAATCCGTGAAAGTGGATTTTTCGTGAAGGAAATTCGATCGCGGTGGATTCTAAAACGCTCGAGTAACCTATGATGGCGGCGGTCGCGCGCTGTGTAAACTCGGAACAGAAATACGACAGCTAAAGGGACGACACCCTGTGCTGAGTCATGGCCACTGCGAACTACCGGAGTCCCAGATCGGAGCACCAGCTCAGCAAACCGTCGTGAGTCGAAGCGCCTGATTCTAAACTATCGACTTTTACGGGAGCTGTATCTAAGATGAATCTCAGTCTACCGAAGACTGATTGAAACACGAGAGAAACCACGATCATAACATTCTCAACTGCATATTGCGTGAAACGGTATTATTGGAAGAACGATCGTTCAATTTTTCTAGAAACTTTACCGCTTTATCGTATTGAAAATATCGTAAAATATATCGACTATCGTAGTAATTACAGAAATAAAGAGGGAAAAGTAATGTAAATTGCATGGCATGCATTACGGGGTATTACTAAGAGGAAATTTTACATTCTATACTATTGCATGAATTTAACTTTGTCTCTCTCTCTCTCTTTCTCTCACCTTTTTTTCCTCTTTTCGCAATTCGTGTTCAAATAAATTTGTAAAAACATCGAATCCATTTACCAGGTAGCTTTAACAAAAATAAGCTTGACACATTGCCGCTTGCGTATAAAACGGGAAATATAATAATAATAATGGCCGTAAATTTACAGAGTGTTTGCTGTTCTCACATTCTAAGTGGCTGTAATATTTAGTAATTATTCTTTCCCCAGTGAGACAGTAAATGATGCTTCGTTATCGGTTTTCCAAGCAGCGCGCCGAGAAAAGATGAATCCTCTACGGAGGTCAAAGGAGCGCCTTGTCATTCCACGGCCATTAATAAATCATGGTACGAAGTCTCCCAACGTTTTCCCAACGCGCGCTGTCGAAAGGTATAGAGTAAAGGGAAAACGACTCCGGAAGAGGACCCGTACGCTAAGGGTGATATAAAAAAAAGAAGCATGCACCGAGCGATCGAACCGAAAGATATCTATTCGCATACATGTTTTCCATCGATATCGCAACGAAAATACGAGCGCGCTTTGTTACACACGATTTACATGTTCACCGTACGCGTTCGTCAAGCGACAGAAAATGTTTTTGATTTTATCCATAACGGACGTTGTGCAATGCCATCACAGAAGAAGTATCGCTTTTTTTTTATATGTGTGTTTTTAACAAATCCGATTTTTTTTATTGATAATAAATCATTTATACACTCTCAAATGTATTTATAGTTTGCGCGTGCAACGCACATTTCGGTTTGATAAATATTTTTTATTTAAGCGCTCATATATACATATTAAATCATCGGCCTGTCATTTTTCATTTTTGAAATAGAATTCGATATAAACGCATCAATCATTCGTGATAATGATGCCCGTCTAAAATAACGAGCTATTTATCAGAGATTAATGTCAAAAGCATGAATTAATTCAGAATACCGTGTAAGTCAACGTGTCCGCAGTAATACGAAATATTTCGATTGATATGAATAACGCACGATAACAATGAATGAGATAAATATCGGGTAGGTTAATTAGACTCGGTATCGAAAGATCTCTCTTTTTGTTTCTTGAACGATTACTTTATGGAATAAGCTACGTATCGAAGTATTTTCTTACCTACACATAATGTAACACTATTGCTTACAAATATTTATCACGTATGTTTTTTTTTATACACGCGATATAATATTATTGTTATCTTTTATTAGCATGCTTGTAAAGTAAAATTAATTATACGTTTTAAACTGTCAGTCCTCCATTTACATTCACACTTCTGTGACTAAAATCTAAATGTGCATAGCAATCTACGGTAATATATGCGAAAAATATGCATTATAATTTCAATGATCACTAATCAGTGCCACGTAAATACGGTCACATTCGCTCAAGTAATATCATAATCCTAAATATTGTAATAACCGTGGAGATTGCTGCAATATATCCGCTTCTTTTCACGTGAAGTTCGTTGTACCGCACTAATTATTTTGGACTTTAGGACGCAGGACGCAAAACGAAATATATATATTTGTTGAAAATTCACGGTGAATCGAATGGCGAGCAATTAATCCGGGTAGCGAAAACTGTTGGATGACAGCTCGGATGTCAACGAAAGTAAATGGCACGTTCCAGCCCATCGTTACGCCATTGTAGTACTGTCAATATAGATACATGTAGAGCCGAAAAGCGGATCAGGTGCGTAAAAATATTTTTGCGGCGTTTTAAAATGGATGTTATTCCAGGATGCGCACTTGCTGGAACAATCGGAACTGTATTTTTACTGTATTTCTTTTGCGGCATGATCCCGCGTGAACGAAGATACGATTTTTTTTTTTTTTAATGGAATTGGGCAACAAGTGGCGAGAACGAAAGTCACCGGATGGGATCATATTGAAATGCCAACTGACACGAGAGCTATACATATACTCCACGTTGGGAAAAAAAACCTGCGTAATCGTTCCGCCATCTGTACCATTATACTTATTGTTGGAGAAAAGCTCTTTCGATATAATCGACTTTTTTTGCTGAATGACGTGAGATTCTATATTGACAGATTTAACGCGCATTCATCATTCCGGCCAGTGACACGCAACTCTCCGCGATAATGGCTCCTCACTTGAAATATTCGAAAGCTGGCTCGTCCCAAATAGATTTTCTGCGGATAAAGGCGATCAAGCGGCGCACCTTTCGTATTTCGTCTGAAAATAGCTTCGGTCGCGTTTGTATAAGCTATAGCCAGGGTAATGTTATCGATTACGAAAGCACAATGCAATTTGAGGTATTACTCGCGAAAGCTGCGCTTTTATTGGCAACCGACACGAAGCGACGTAGAGCGAGTAACCCAAAAAACCACAAATGAACATGTACAGATGTTATATCGTATCGTAATAAAATTTTCAAATAATGAAAAAATAAATTTTTCACAATTTTATTATATAATAAAAATCGTAAGAGAGTTATGATACCTATACTTACATCGTAACATGAAAAAGTCCAGTGATTTTATTAGTGATAATATTTTAGAACCAAGTTATGGAATATTTTTTAAATAATTAAACGTCTCTGTGTGTGAGTAAATTTATTTGTATAAACAATATTGGTAATGCAATTGTGACACACATGAAGCCGTACGGATCGCCATAAACCGCGAATGTAATCAGAGTTATAGATAAATCCGCTTTGCCGGCGACAATAAATTTCCGAAATCCACCTACGGCCATATTGCGCGGATTCTGCGGTAAGATATAGCGAAACGCGCGTAGGGGAAATTTGGCCTGGGGACGTACCCACTAATCCTTCCGTGGTAATCGACGATTTCCGTCCCTAAATTGTCCCACTGCCGTGGAACTGCATAGTTAAGGGGTTCCCTACGAAATTAACTTTAGATCGCGGACCGTACCAAGCCGTCGGCGCTTTTGTTCTTCGACAGCAGCGGTAGCAGGGAAATAATTGTTTCGATTATATCAACAAATTGCTGGTTCTTTCGAACGGAAGAACACATTGTTACAGGCCCGTGCTGAAACTGTAGGTATATTCGCAAAACTGGTATTATTCATCGGATCTCTGCGCATTGTCTCGGAAATAAAAATGAAATATTCAATTGTACCTTAAAGGATTATATGCTAGATAAAAGAATGTTTTTTTTTTTTAAACAAATTTTCAACGTTTACTTATATCTAAATGTTTGAATGTAGTCGCGGCAACCTTAATAAGCAATTTTGACGCAAGAGCACGTCTTACTGCACTACTGATACTGGGTTTATCAATTGGAATTATTTTATTGGACTGCAGATATGCCATGACCTCCTTGTCAATCTCACTGTTCCTCTGGCTCTTTCCGGTCTTCTAGAACGGTCATGCAGAATTTCATAGAACGCGCCAGCTGTTCTTCCAGGGCTGCATTTCGCACGTATCTGTTGAGCTTCGACAGGACGCATGTCATCTTCTTCAGTTCTTCGGCCTCTCGGTTCCGTTGTTTAATACGCTCGTCGTCCTTCTTATTAACTTGCGGGATGAAATCTTGCATTATGACAGCTTTCGCGGCCAGCTCGTCGCGCAACAAATTAGCCGCGGCAACCTTAATAGGCAACTTTGACGCAGGAGCACGTCTCACTGCACCACTGGTACTGGGTTTATCAATTGGAATTATTTTATTGGACTGCAGATATACCATGACGTCCTTGTCAATCCTATAGTTTGAAGTAGGAACTATTTCTTTGTCTATTCTAGTACAGTTTGACATGCTGCTTCTATGGTATGACGGTGTCATCGTCTTAGGTATATCAGCGACAGATGAATGACTCTTGTTGTTGCGTATTAGTATTTCCGACTGCTTTTCTGAGTCAATTACTTCTATGGATTTACGCCTTGGTGTGTATTCCGTACGTTTATCGAATACCCGTACTTTATTTTCTGGAAGCAGTTTTTGCAACATTTCTTCATACTGATATTTCTCCTTCAGTTGATTAGTTTTGGATAATGTCCCAGACTTGTGACAGGTGTCCGGCATCCTGTGTTTGGAATGGCAAATAAACTCCTGAGGCGATTTACTGTGATGCAGAGGAGAACAGGTAGACTTACAACTGGAATACATAACTTCGCGTATATCGTAATGTTGCGGCTGTTTTTTATGAGTACCGTTCAACTGTGCGCACGATTTTATCGGCGAGCATTTCTGCTCGCCGAGAAACGTGATATCGTCATCGTCGCTATCATCAACGGTTAAATAACGCGGCTCCCTTGTATGTGCCATGTTACAATTGGATTTAAATTTCTTGGGTGTTATATATTCTCCTTCAAAGTTGCGGTCCTCGGAAGCTTTCCGTTTCTTATAACCTTCATCCGCCCATCCTAAGATTCTCTTCAGAAAATTAAAGTTCATGGTCATTTTTAATATATATATATAGATCCTGATTATATTATTGTCCATTCAATATATGTTATTAGTGTAGCTCAATCTAAAAAAAACAAAAAATAAGAAATTCTATAATGTATAAATGTTGCCCTTAATATAATTTTTATATATCTTATACTTATACATATAAATATTACAAAGACAAAAACCATGCAATGAAACTTTATAGCAAACTATAGATGCCAAGGGGGCTATATATCCCATGTATAATACTAATGATATGCTCATCCAATTCCAAATTTTATTTATCTTGTATAAGACTTAGATACAGAGTGAGATATCATATAACCTTAAATTTATCTGAAGTCGAAAATTATAAAACTGCATTTAGTAATAAATATAAGAACAATCTTCAATGCTTTTTTACATTCTTTTACAAAACAGGATTACTTACATCGGGCTTTTACATCAGGAAATTAGACAAAAGGATGTATAACCAAATGCCGATCTATATCTCGTTCGATCTCTAACAAAGCCACCGAGTCTGTGAGAACTGATAATGATAAGAATTCAACCTAAAAGAAAAGACCATCGTTATCATTTGTACCTCACAAAATTATCATCAATTAAAGTAATTTAGTCGCCTGTACTATTCTGCGCTAATGTACAATAAAAGGTCTGTTTGTTTTATTTGAATGTACACTCTCTGTACTTAAAATCTCTCAGTACACTCTCTGTATACTTAACCCTAGACAGACTCACTTATTTTTCTCATACGTGAATGACTCACTGCACTGGGGTAATACGTTACCCCAAACTTGTACCGCGTGCATAATATTTTCAGAATGTTCTTAGAAAACTTTATAATAGATAATTTTGTTTGTTGTTTAATAGGGAAGACGATAGTAGTCAATTTGCGGTAGTAAAAAAAAAAAACAGTAAAAAAATTTCGAAAAACAAAACAAAGAACCAAAAATTTGGCTGAAATGATGCGAATTTGAATTTCGCGTGGGGTAACGTATTACCCCAGTGAGTCTGTCTAGGGTTAAAATGAAATGGGTATGTTTGAAGTTTAGCAAAAGTGAGAAGGAAAGTTCTAGTATAGCCCATGCATCAATAAAAAAGCTAAAGATTACTTGTGATTGAAATAAAAGACACATATAATTTAACATCAGACAAAAAAAAGAAAAAAATACAGAAAATTCAGCTATGAAAAACAAACCTAAAGACTACTTATATGATTATGATCAAAATGAATATGTATAGATATAATTTAGTAGCAGACACAGAAAAATAAAAAAGATAGAAAATACAGAAAATTATCTCTCAGCTACAGAAAACAAACTTCAAGATTATTTATGATTGAAATAAAAGACATGTAAGTAATTTAGTGTCAAACAGAAAAAGAGAAAGGATAAGAAAATACATGAAATTTAGTTACAAAAAACAAAACTTATACATAAAATTGTTTAATTATAAAAACACAACGGAGACGCAGATACATATATATATCTTCACCGGAAAAGATACCCGATGTCAAAAGCAATTTTTGGCGGAATATACATTGGATATCTCAGCCAGGACACTCTGTGTCGCACTTTCGCGCCCCGATGCCTTTTTTCACACGTAAAAACGTCTGTAGATCAGGTCAGTGCGGAATAGCGCGGACGTGCGAATTCATTATGAATAAAGAAATCTCGATTATGCAAATGTATGCGCAACCACGTGACGTGAGTGAGGTTAACTTCATCGCGCGCGCGGCGTGCGACGCACGGACGTGTTCCGGTCGATGCTTACTCGAAGGCAGCTCTGCGCCGAATTCGCCGTACGCCGTACGTGTCGAAGCGGGGCCTGGCCCGGGCGACGCCTTCTCATCCGGCCTCTCAGACGCGCAATTTGTCGTTCATGGAACATTTAATTTGGCAAACGTCGCGAACATACGACGTACTTACCTTTTGCGTAGTGCCGGTAGTGCGTAGTCAGCGTAGTGCGTAGTGCGTATCGCGCTCTCGGCTACCATACTACATACTACCATCATACTTTACGCGGAGCAGGTTGGCCACTCCCGCCCGCGAATTTATTCGACTCAAAGCGCCTTCTCTGCTTCTCTCTTCGATCTCCTTTTTTTGCCGCATATGATACACGTTTGATTGGTTTCGGAACGAGCAAAAAGGAGGGAAAAGCCGAATCTCGGATAAGATAAATTATTCAGACGCTTTTTGTAAAAATAGTAAATTAATAATATAAATCTTCGACCTTTTTGTAAAAACAAATTTTCGTAAAAAAAAAAATTATAGATACGGTCGATCGAGCTTTTAATTTCAAATTATTGAAATTAGAGAGATTTAGGGCGCAACACGTACATATAATGTTATATGAAATTTATTATTATTAGATATATTTATAACGTTTTCGATTCAACCCAGCCAATCAAAAACGCTATTAAAATCGTCTTAAATATGATCTTGAGATGTTATATCAGATTCTCTGGCTTGATAGAATTTTAAGATAAAGTACACTTGACATCCGGCGCTTGACGATCCCAAGCAAGTTTTAGGTGATCTTAACTTTATAAATGCCTATAACTAATTATTATAGTCTCGACATTTTGGTGTTGGACTTTTCGTCTCAAAATGATCTCAGAAATCTGCCCTTGAGCACAGTTCAACCAGTTACGATTAGTAGCCCGCTAGTATTGTTCGTTCGCTCGATTTCGTATCCGCGTGAAGTCGGTGAAGTTAGTCGCATGTCGCGTTGCGCACAAGCACTATACGCAACCTCTACTTCAGCTTCAAGGAGCAGTGGGTGCTGCAAGATCGCAAGGTCTCACAAGAGTAACAATTACAATTAACTTTAATTATGTGTTTATAAAGGCTGAGATTTCTTTGAGAACACACCGGTGTCTTCGACACTTCGATTATGCTACAAATTTTGTTTAAATAAAAGCCGTACTGCCGAAACACTGTGATTTATCATATTTAAAACTCCTGTTAGGTTGATTTTTTTTTTATTCATCTCGGTACTCCTTATTGCAGCTTGCGAAGAACTTTGTAGGTACTCCGAGAGAAATATATAAATAGATATTCTATACTAATATATACTCGAGAAACAAGATTCAATCTAATAAGTGATAATAAGCAAGGATTTATTGCTGTACATGTTGGTATGTAATTTAGGTATTTAGGCATGACTTGTAATTAATACATATTTGTATCTAAGCTGTCGTAACATTTCGTTATTTTTTTTGTTACATGTACGTATCAGATTCTATACATATATTTCATATGCACTTACGGTTTTCCCTCAAGATGGATCGAACACGCACGTTTATCCGTAATGAAACGCCTTGGGCCGATAGGAAATGGCGTCTTGGTAAACACTAATAAGCACTCGGTTATACACATATACGTGTTACAGTCTACGCGAGACCAATACACCGCCCACACGCACAACACACACAACAAAATAGTTTCCATTTTCGATCGAAATATACGGTATCCAATTTCAATTAGAAGTTTGCTTCGCTCGGTCGAGACGCCGCGGTCGACAAAGTATTTAATCAAAGAATGCAATTCAAGGGGAAGGTAATATCTCTATCGATCTCGGATGATTTTGTTCTGAGAACTACACTAATTGGTAAATAATGAGACTTGAGACGATGTGATATGATAACAGAAATCATTATTCATCGACTGCAAATTTGTATCTATATATTACTAGGCGATATTTAATAAAAATCGACACGTTTTGATTATAAATGATTGAGTTTGAGTTTCGTTTAACTTGTGCAATCGCAACAAATAAAGATTTTAATCGGAAATCCATCATTAAACTAAAAAGCTAATAATGCGAAATAATTATGAGCTAATATTTGCACGCTAAACCTAGCAGAATGTAATTGTCGTTAATTGTACCGACGATTTATTATTGCGCATTTGAAATATGTGCTCCAGTTTCTTTTTGTTAAATTGTCATGTACAGTCAAAATTTCATTTATATAATATTTGGCCTGTATAACTCTAAAATTCAATTTACGGTAATTATACATAAATTAACATGTATGAACTGTGTGCGAAAATTATTAATTTCTCTTCGATTATATTGTAGAGCGTTCTTCCATCACGCATATATATACATATATTACGTAGTAATTTAAATATTTGATTACTATTTATCGTTGCAACTCATTCAACAGAAACGACGAAAAACCGAGCACATAAACGAATCGCGATTCAAGGATACTCATCTAAAGCAATCAAGTTGGATGTTGACTTTACGTTAAAAATTCTTCGAAAATCTTTCTTCGACGTTAAAATTGACTCATTCAACTCTATTTGCTCGACAAAAATCTTTAAAAAAACCAGATAAATCTGTAAAATTGCCCTTCTCTTTCTTTGTGCAATCCTGCAATTTTATTGTATTCGATTGAATCATTAATAGTCCATACTCATACGGGAATTTAATGAACAGTGATATTTCTCCCGCGATATTCTAGATTATAAATAAAATACTTTATTTATTTTCTTGTATAATATAATTATCTTATTACAATTTTTTAATTTCAAATTAGTAACGCGTTATACATACTTATATATAGTACTTGTAAATGTGAAGAAGTCATGATTTCAAACACTAATATAGTAATTATGTTAAACTAAAGTAAAGCAATTAATGTTTGTTTAAAGATTAGATTTAGTTAGTTTAGTTAACCTAATTAAAATATACAAAGCGTAGAGTTTGTAGCACAGTGCGGTGCCTCGATGATGCCAGTAGTTTACGTTTAAAGCATTGGTGCACGATTCACGCAATGCCGAGTTTACCTTTAACAATGTGTAAATTTCGTAGGTAGTTAATGCACGTTACATGCAACGTCACCAAGGTATACGAACACAATGGCCGTGCCTCTCGTTGTATGCTCGATATTACCGCGGTCCATTATACCGCGTCCGACTTCGCCTAGGCAACCGTGGAGGTTGATGAAACCGTAGAGCGACGTGTTACTTTCGTTACCATCAGAAGTGTTTATCTCTTCATCTGGCTTCATCCTAGCCTAGATCAGAGCTTGCGCACCGTGAAAGCTCATCCTAATCGCGATCGCTATACGAGACAAGCGCAATCTCGATTTAATTATCTAGTGGCGTGAAGAAAGCGTCAAGGGTAAAACGAGATCGTTTCATCTCCGGGTCCGTTTCATTTTCGGATTCCTGATTTTTCTCCTTTATTCTGCGGATCGTCAAGTCTTCCCCTCACAAGGGAGATATAGCCGGAAAGCGATACAAAAGAAAAGTCACCTTTCCTTTTCTTTCGGCTCTAAAGTTCCTCCGGTTTAAAGTTCGCTTAATTTCATTTACAGGCGAGTTAGGAAACTCTAAAGTAATCCCACGGATAACGTAACTTTTTTTCATTATTATTTAGTTACTGCAATGCTGTAACGTTATTGTAGCGCAAAAAAATATACCTATAGATCCTGTTTAAAATGTGACATGTTAAAAGCTGGTGCCTTAGAAACGACATTTGGGAAAGGGTCGCAAATTGTTTGTCGGCCGAGAGGAAGTTTGCGTCCGTTAGTTTGCGCGCCCGGGCACCAATAAATGATTTTCCGGCGGGTACTGGTAACCGCAGGAAGGAAAGCGGCGTTGCGCGGAGGACACGTGGCAATTTCGGTGCGACAACCGCACCATTTTCGCCCCTGCGACACCTGTACAAACGGAAGCAGCTTATTCTCCGCGTATATAGAAGTTTGCGGTTTCCGCCGCGCGCACGAGCCCGCTGTTTGCTGGAACAACACGAGTGACGACTATTTAAGGGTACAAAGAGCGGAATCCGATGCATCGCCGGAGTGAATTTTCGTAATACCGGCCCTCTCGACGCTCGCAAAATATTAGTCGAGATTGTTTTCAAACGATTCTCCCGACCCTCTCACGAGGAAGACACTCGTCGCGCGGGAGTAAACACTCGTAACGTCCCGCGAACAAACGTTCCGGAAACGGCGCAAGACAAAGGGCCGCGTTGTGCAAACATTCTTGTCCGTTTTCTTCTTCAACTCGGGACGCTATCTACTCGTAAGTCAAAGAAAGATATAGACATTTTCCGAATGACGGTAGTAAATCGAAAAAAAGCTTCTCTAGTTGTATTATCAATAACGCGAATAGTAGCGGCAAACAAGAGCTTAATATACAATTAAAAAAGTTATTACAGAAATCAGAGCTTGTAAATCTAAAAATAAAATTAATAATCCAGAAATTAAAGTACTTTTGTTTTACTCTTTTTTTATATTATGCTAATTCGCGTTTCTAATTAAAATAATTTGGATAACCGTATTCGCGCGTTGCATTTAGAATATGAATTAATAAAATGTAATCAGAGTTTATGTCAATCAATATGCAATCCTATTTATAAAAAATCAAAATATGTAGCTCTTGAAATATTGACACAAATATTTGTCAAATAAAAAAAAGTATCATTAACTTATACAATGTAATAAAATTATACATGCAAAATATCCTGAGTAAGACATAAAAGATAAAAGTAAGACACAAAAGATAAAAGAAATGGTCAGTAACTTGCTCATCATAAAAAATGAATTATTATTGTTGACAGCGTAAGATGCGATATTAATCTAAAATAATTCGGCATTGCGTATATAACACCATTAAGGCGATTAAGAAGTTTACGCTCGAAAGTTCCCAAAATACGCTCAAGCAGATCCTTTGTAGCTCGAGAAAATTATGGTCGCAATCTAAAATTCTTCGCGGCTAATTAGCTAAATTTATTAAATTCCGATTGTTATCGCACGAGAGTGGAAAATGGAGAGTGTCAGGGAGCCGGTATGTAATTTTCATGCATGCGGGGAGACGCGACGAGCGCCGGTTTAATGGACGGCGCAACGTACAACGGCCGTATCCGGTTTCTACGGTACGCAAGAAGATCG